AATGTATGAGATATAGATTCTCTGAAATTTGTCAATATCTATTTTATGGCCTGAAATGTGGTTAATTTTTATAAACCATGTGTGCTTGAAAAGAATGTGTATTCTCAAGTTGTTAGATGCATTGTTTCATAGATACACATTCAATTAACCTTGTGCTGTTCAAATTTTTATTTCATTATTGATTTGTTGTTGTTTGACATATCAGTTAGTGAGGAGGTATGTTAAAATCTTCCATTTATGTGGATTCGTCCATTTCTCTGTAGTCCAGACATTTTTTGCCTTATACTTTGAAATCTGTGTCATTAAGTGCATACATATGTAAATTGTTAATCTTCTCGATGAATGGAGATTTTATGTAGTGATCTTTTTTTATCAGTAATCCTTTTGCCTTTAAGTCTATTTTGTCTGATAATAATAAGACTTTACCAGTTTTTTAAATTGGTGTTTTCTTGATTGTTCTATAAATTTGACATTAAATTTTTGTTTTGTTTTAAATTTTTGTATATTAAGCTTTAGATGGTGTCTCTTGCAAATAACTTAGAGTTGTATTTTCTTTTTAATCCAGTCTGACAATATTTGTCTTTTAACCAGGTAATCTAGGCAATTTACATTGATCATGATTAATATTATCTTTGGATTCATTTCTATCATCTCATAATGGTTTGGACTGAAGTGTTGATCTAGATTGTTCCACATCCGTTGATTGAACGATGTTCCAACCACTGAATCACCCAATCACTGATCCACATCCTATTATTTTGAACTATCCTTATGGCCCCCAATAGCATAGTGACTTAGGGTTAAATGGCAGTGTAAAAGGATACAGGAGGCCAGGGGTGGTGGCTCACACCTGTAATCCCAGCACTTTGGGAAGCCGAGATGGGCGGATCACAAGGTCAGGAGTTCAAGACCAGCCTGACCAACCTGGTGAAACCCCATCTCTACTGAAAATACAAAAATTAGCTGGGCGTGGTGGTGCATGCCTGTAATCCCAGCTACTCAGGAGGCTGAGAAAGGAGAATCGCTTGAACCCAGGAGGAGTGTTGCAGTGAGCTGAGATTGTGCCACTGCACTCCAGCCTGGGCAACAGAGCAAGACTCCATCTCAAAAAAAAAAAAAAGTATCAGGAACTGGATATGGTTAGTGGGGTGAAGAGCAGTTTCAGGAAAGAAGTTCACCATCATCCTATATTTAAGGAACTATGATATGTATATAAAAGAGGGATTAAAACTTGAGCAGCAAATGACAGAACTAGAGCAAATGAGTAGAATAATATCTTATTCCTTGAGCAGCTGTTATGTGCCAGGAAAATTGCTAAATACTTTTCACATATAACTTAATTCATGAAACAAACCACTGAGGTAAGGGCTCATCATCCTTATTTTATAGGTGAGAAAAATGAGGCTCAGAGAGATTAAAGAAGTTACTTGAAGTCAAACAACTAGTAACTGGCAGAATTGGGACTCATACTCAATTTTGTATGACTCTAAAACCCTTGTTCTTTTTACTGAATTATATCACAGAGAGGTGAACTGTTAAATACCAAATGGAGGAAGAATACTTTTTATAATTAAAATTGGTAAAAAAAAAAAAAAAAACGTAATGAACTATCATTTGAAGTGGTGAGCATCCCATCACTGGGCATTTCTAAACAGAGATAATGTGATCATGTGTCAGGACTATTATAGTGAGAGTTTTACTTTGAGTGGAATATTGTACTTTAGAACAGATGCTTGGATTAGATGACCATTAATTATGGTCTATTTCAATTTCCATGAGGTTATTGAAACTGTGCCAGAGCTTAACAAATGTATGCTTTTCAAAACTCTCCCTACCTTCTGAAACTAGCCGCAATGTGAACTTGTCCTTTCTTCACTTCGCCTCCTTAACTCACTGCAGCGTTATGTGATGTGTACAGGTGGGGAATTTAATAAAACCCTATTTGATGATGACTTGATGAAAGTCTATTTGGCCTGTTTAGATAGGAGAAAAACAAGTCATGTGTGTTTAAGTGCAGTGTAAGTTTCTTTAATTTGAAATATTGGAGCCAAGCAATGCAAAAGCTGAGAGACTCCATTTAATAGCATGTTAATGTATTAAAACGCTTAATAATACATTCATAATATTTAAAATACAAATATTTCTACAATGTAATATTATTTTACAGATGGTATTTAGTAAATAGCCAGTATTCACTGGGAAGTGGGGAATTCATTGTCCTTTGTGCCTTGCTTTGTTGACACATTCTACCACATGAAGGCCAAGAGCCCGTAAGAATAGAAAAACCTTTCTGTCAGCAGCAGCCTCATCAAGCTGGTCCCTCTGTAGACTCCGCTCTGTTCACTTATTTTCTTTATCCTTACTGCTAATTCATCAAGTAACCATTTCCCCTTCTTTTAAAGCACAGCCACAAGCATTATTTCTTCCCGGAGCTTTCATTGACCTGTGCCTCTCCCTGCACTGTACCTCTCGAGGTATCCAGTAGTGGTAGTTGAAGTATATGAAGAAGGATTTTATACATTCTTTACTTTTGTTTTGAGTAGTTCTTTTAAACCTTGTGAAAGCAATTTCACAAGTGCTTCCTATAACATTGCTCTGATGTGGATAGGAAAGATCCCATTATAGCCTTTGGACATGAAGAAACTGAGACATAAGGAGGCCGAGAATTGCCAAGTAGTGGTAGAGTTTTAGCGTCTTTCAGCTCCACAGCTCTACTAGCCAATTGTGTGTTCCAAAATATTTCCCACAGGTTTCTGATTCTTGGATTTTAAGTGGTATGCTATGGTTGGTACCTGGGATTTGATGTATTTAAAATTTGTTTGGGCCAGGTGCAGTGGCTCATGCCTGTAATCCCAGCACTTTGGGAGGCTGAGGCAGGTGGATCACCTGAGGTTGGGAGTTCGAGACCAGCCTGGCCAACATGTTGAAACCCTGTCTCTACTAAAAATACAAACATTAGCCAGGCATGCACACCTGTAATTCCAGTTACTCCAGAAGCTGAGGCAGGAAAATCACTTGAACCCAGGAGGCGGAGGTGCAGTGAACAGATATTGTCTCACTGCATTCCAGCCTGGGTGACAAAGCGAATCTTTGTCTCAAAAAAAAAAATTGTTTGACTCATTATTTGAATGGGTCATGCAAGTGCTGACCAATTCATAGAGAAAAGTATGGTTATGGAATCCCTACTAGAATGTGAACAGATTTTGAGAAAGGCCTACCATTGAGGTGAGTGTGCTGTAACCTGAGCATGTGAGACCAAAAAAACACTTGAGAAAAATTTTTGCTTTCAGAATTCATCCATGTGACTCTATAGATTGGATATTCTGGTTTCATCCAGCTAGCCTCAAAATGACAGAGGGTTGTCTTGCGCAGTCAGAGATGTGTAGTGTAAAGATTATTGGGAACTACTGAGGAGCCAAAGGTTCTAATTATAGAGTGTCTTAAGATTAGATTATTATCTTTTTTACTTTCCTGGCCTCAGCTCTCTCTTATGGCAAGTGAAGGGTTTGCAATAAGGTCAGTGGTTCTCAGACCATAGTCTTTGGAGTACATGGACCAGAATCACCAGGGGACTTGTTAAAAGTTGAGATGCCTGGACTCCATCCAGGGTACTGAATTGGAATCTCTGGAGTGGCACTTGTTTATCTGCCTTTTGACAAGTTGACCAAATATGCAAACTAAAGTTTGAGCACCTCTGGATGAGGGAGATTCTAAGGTTCCTTCCAGCTCTATGATCCTTTGAATGAGAAAGACAAAGACAGACAGCAATTATGGATTTCATTTCAGATTTCTTCACTATTCTTTAATGTCAGAGCCGTTAGTAATTTTAAATTTGCCAGAAATCACCTAATTAGCATGTGATGACAATATACTGTTTTTGTTTTTTATGTCTGCCTCCTCCAGCTTATTATCAGCATTGTTTCTATTTCTTTTGTGCATTACTACGGTAATCAGTCTCTTCTTATTCACTTCCATCCTTTATATCGTCATCAGAGATTTTTGGTGTGTTTTTGTCCATAAAACAACAAACACAAAAAAAGTCCTTCACATGATTAATACGTTGCTTTTTTTTTGGCAATAAAATCTCTTAATTTCTCAGCATGGCTTACTAGACCTTTCCAAGTATTATTTATCTTTGTAGTTTTATCTCCCAAATTTTTACCCTCATCCAGCCAGGAATACTTTAATTCTCAAACTAGTTTAGGTAGCTGATTACCTAGAGTCACCTTGTTTCTTTCTTTCTTTTTAAATATGAAATAGCTTTATAGTTTACTTCATTGTATGATCTGAGAATTTTATTCATAGAAAATATTACTATATGATTACATTTTAGACCAGAAGCATTTATTAATAATAAAAAAAACCAAGCACTGGATTTAGTTTGGCTCTCTGAGTTTTCTACCTAATATTCTTTTCTATCTGTTTTAACTGTTTGCTACCTCTTTCTGTTAGAAAAGTGAAGAAAAATACCAAAGAAGTATTTTTGTAAGAATAACCTAAAATTAAGACTATTCCATATATCAATTAAAAAAAATCAAAATTGCTTTTGTATGGTTTAAATAATAAATTACTTTGATTCCATTTATGGAGCACCAGTGGTTCTTTTTGTGAACACTGTTGGGTAACAGGATCTGTGTCCCTGTGGTTCTCTTTCTGGAATGCCTTTCTGAAGTTTCCTCTTAAACAATTCCTGCTCATTTTTCAAGACCCAGTAGGTTTGTCACCATTATTGCAAAGCCTTTTCTGACCCTTATAGAAACAACCATCAACTCTCTCCTCTATATTTCCCAGGTTGCTTGGTATGTTTATCTCTACTTAAAAAACTAACATCTAACACCATTATAATAATAATAATTATTGTTTATCCCCTCTCTTCCTCTCTTGCCTCTATGGGTCATGGCACAAAGTTTATGTTCAATAATTGATGTTAAATGAATGTCTTGTTTTGACTAAGATTTTTGTTCCTTAAGAACCTTATCCCTCTTACTTTTATTCTGTAGGACCAAGAACACAGGATCTTATGTGCACCCATTTTGCGATGACAGACTGACCAAGTGATCTGGCTTTTCTCCACGCTCTGGGAAATAGTTCAACTCTGTCAAAGAGCAGTCAAGAAAAGTTCATATATTGAGAGTGATGTGATGATGGCTGTTTGAAAAGCTTGGAACTACCTTTTTAGATTAAATAGGCTTGTTTCTGTCTCAAATCTGGATTAGGGCCAATGCTTTGATATCCCAGTCAGCAAAGATCAGAAGTCAAGAATTCAGAATCTTTCATCATGCTCTGAAATCATTTGTCAATAAACAACAAAGACCTTCTAGGGCTGGATAGAAGAGCTTGGAAGAGGAGCTCTTCTATCAGCTGGGGACTCTGGATGGGAAAAAGGCTTAGTTCAGGTCTGGTGAAGAATTTGAGAATAAGTGAAATGCAAGGGAACAGTAGTCAAGAAAGTGATTAGTACTGGGTGTTGACTGGGATGTGAGGAAAAAGGTGCCTTACACTGTTGGCGAGGAGGACTGAAGTAGAAATTGGTACAGCCTTTCTGGAGTGCAGTTTTGCAAGGTGTATTAAAAATGTTAAAGGTATTTATACTGTTTTTCTCACCAACTCTACTTCTAAGAATTTTTCCTAATGACGTACTCAAATAAGTATACTAGGATGTTTGTATAAAGAGATTTATTTAGAACAACTATAAAGGTCCCAAAATAGGGAACTGATTAAACAGATTGATTAATCTATACAAGGGAATATCACACAGGCATTCAAATAATGATGTAGAGATATATTTATAGAAAAGCAAAGGGGTATATGATGTATTGTCAGATTTAAAAATCCATTTATGAAATAATAGGTAGATTATGATTAATTTTTGTAAAACAGGTATATACATGTATATATATTATATATATACACACATATGTTACACAGTTACTGGAAGTTGTCACTGAGAGATTTTTTTTTTTTGGTTTACCTTGATGTTACAAATTTTCTACAGATAACATATAATACTCAAATTATAAAGAAATAATTTTTTCTTTGTTGGTATTCTCCAGGTTGACCGAATAGTGCTTGGAACAGAGTACATGAGTCATATGTATTAGCAAATTCAATGACTGAGCGAATAGGTGAACGACTTTACTTCCAACTTGGTAGTATAGGTTATACTGGTGAGAATTTTCTAAATTTTATCCATTCATCTTCTTCCACTGGAATTGACTGTAGGATAGCTGCTTTTTGATTCCTGAGATCTTTTCTTTTTTTTTCCTGGTTTTCACTTTTCTTTTTTTTTCTTCAACTTTTATTTGGGTTACATGTGCAGGATGTGCAGGTTTGTTACATAGGTAAACAGGTGCCATGGTGGTTTGCTGCACAGATCATCCCGTCACCTTGGTATTAAGTCCAGCATCCATTAGCTGTTCTTCCTGATGCTCTTCCTTCCCTGAACTGTTCTCCTAACAGGCCTCACTGTGTGTTGTTTCCCCCAATGTGTCCATGTGCTCTCATCATTCAGCTCCCACTTATAAGTGAGAGCATGTGGTGTTTGGTTTTCTGTTCCTGCATTAGTTTGCTGAGGATAATGGCTTCCAGCTCCATCCATGTCCCTGCAAAGGACATGATCTCATTCCTTTTAATGGTTGCATAGTATTCCATTGTGTATATGAACCATATTTTCTTTATCCAGTCTATCCTGGGTGGTCATTTGGGTTGATTCCATGTCTTTGCTATTGTGAATAATGCTGCAATGAACGTATGTGTGCATGTATCTTTACAATGGAACGATTTATATTCCTTTGGGTATATGCCCAGTAATGGGATTGCTGGATCAAATGGCATTTCTGCTTCTAGATCTTTGAGGAATTTCCACACTGTCTTCCACAATGGTTGAACTAATTTACACTCCCACCAAAAGTGTAACAGCAATCCTTTTTCTTCACAAACCTGCCAGCATCTGTTGTTTCTTGACTTTTCAATGAACCACCATTCTGACTGGCATAAGATGGTATTTCATTGTGGTTTTGATTTGCATTTCTCTAATGACCAGTGATGACGAGCTTTTTTTCATATGCTTGTTGGCTGCATGAATCTCTTCTTTTGAGAAGTGTCTGTTCATGTCCCTTGCCCACTTTTTAATGGGGTTGTTTAATTTTTTCTTAAAAATTTGTTCAAGTTCCTTGTAGATTCTAGATATCAGACCTTTTTCAGATTATTAGATTGCAAAAATTTTCTCCCATTCTGTAGGTTGTCTGTTCACTCTGATGATAGTTTCTTTTGCTGTGCAGAAGCTCTTTAGTTTAATTAGATCCCATTTGTCAAGTTTTGCTTTTAGTGTTTTCATAATGAAATCTTTGCCCATGCCTGTGTTCTTAATTGTATTGCCTAGATTTTGTTCTAGGTTTGTTATAGTTTTGGATTTTACATTTACATCTTTAATCTATCTTGAGTTAATTTTTTGTAAAGTTTAAGGAAGGGGTCCAGTTTCAGTTTTCTGCGTGTGGCTAGCCAGTTCTCCCAGCACCATTTATTATAAAGGGAATCCTTTCCCTGTTGTTTGTTTTTGTCAGGTTTGTTGAAGATCAGATGGTTGTAGGTGTGTGGTCTTATTTTTGAGTTCTCTATTCTGTTCCATTCTATATGTCTGTTTTTGTACCAGTACGATGCTGTTTTGGTTACTTTAGACTTGTAGTATAGTTTTAAGTTGGGTAGCATGATGACTCCAACTTTGTTCTTTTTGCTTAGGATTATCTTGACTATTCAGCCTCTTTGTTCCATACAAACTTAAAAATTTTTTTTCTAATTTTGTGAAGAATGTTGGTGGTAGTTTAATGGAAATAGCATTGAATCTTTAAATTAGTTTGGGCAGTATGGCCATTTTGACGATATTGATTCCTCCTATCCATGAGCATGGAATGTTTCTGCATTTGTTTGTGTCCTCTCTGATTTGTTTGATCAGTGGTTTGTAATTCTCCTTGAAGAGGTCCTTCTCTTCTCTTGTTAGCTGTATTCCTAGGCATTTTATTCTTTTTGTAGCAATTGTGAATGAGAGTTCATTCATGATTTGGCTCTGCTTGCCTGTTGTTGGCGTATAGTAATGCTAGTGATTTTTGCACATTGATTTTGTATCCTGAGACTTTGCTGAAGTTGCTTATCAGCTTAAGATGCTTTTGGGCTGAGACGATGGGGTTTTCTAGGTATAGGATCATGTCATATGCAATCAAAGATAATTTGACTTCCTCTCCTATTTCAGTACTCTTTATTTCTTTCTCCTGCCTGATTGCCCTGGCCAGAACTTCCAACACGATGTTGAATAGGAGTGGTGAGAGAGGGCATCCTTGTCTTGTGCCAGTTTTCAAGGGGAATGTTTTCAGCTTTTGCCCATTCAGTATAATATTGCCTGTGGGTTTGTCATATATGGCTCTGATTATATCATGATATGAGGTTATATCCCTTCCTTGGTATGAGTTTGTGCCCCTTCCTGTGTCTGAGTGTTGATGATATATTTCTGACTGGTCATTAGTTGTTTCTGTTCATTTCATTAAGGGTACTGGGAGTCAGGTTCCATTAACCAGTGTCATTCCACCATTTTATTCTGTGACTTCTTTCGGTGCTATTACATTTAGAAAATTCTTCCTAAAATGTGATAAATATTTACCTGCTTAGCTTTTAAAATATATTTTCATTTAATTCTAAAATGTATTTGAAATTAATTTTTATATGATGTGACGTGAGACCACAAGTTGATATTTTTCTTTTGAAATACATAACCAGTTTTACACAAACCATTTATAGAGTAGTCCATTTTTTCCATATTGGTTTATGATGTATGTTCTGTTACATATTAAGTTATAATGTGTACAAGGCTCTCTTTCAGGCCTGTTTGTTTTGTTGCGTTAATTTGTCTATTGATTCTTATACCACCATTATACTATTTTGTATGTGTTACAATGCAGTTTAATATTGAATTTGGGTACATTTCCACTGATTTTGCTTTTTTAAACAAATGAACTATTTTCACACACGATATTTGCCAAATGAAATGCTTGACATTATGTCAAAAGTATAAATTAATTTTGGAATAATTAGCATATTTTATTATTTAGTCTACCTCTTCAGGAACATATTTTATCTTTCCATTTGTTTAAGTTTTCTTCTATCTTGCATCCCTCAAGGTTTTGCTTAAGAAATTTATAGTTTGTAAGTATTGTGTACTGACCTTTCCCTCATTATGTTTTCTAATTGTTGTTAGTATAGAGAAAATTGAATCTCAAATATATATTTTATAATTAGTGATTTTCTTGAGTATTATTATTGATTTTGGTTCTTTTGTATCTTCTAGAAAAGCAATCATGCCTTCTGCAAATAATTCTAACTTCTATTCCCTTTCGACATAGTTGTATCTTGTTTCTTTTCTTGCATGTTAGTATGATTTTGGACATCCTTACCTTCCTCCTAATTTTAATGAGAGCACCTTTAATAATTTGCAGCTAAGAGGCAATTGGCCTAAAAGAAATTAGGAAATACACTTAGCTTCCTAGTGGGGCTTAAAAGTAAAAAAAAAAAACAAAAAAAAACAGTGTTGAATTTTATCAAATCATCTGTTCTTTTTTTATAATTATGTCCTCTTATTTGACCTAGTGATGCAATGTGTTATATTAATATATTTCTAATATTAAACAATTCTTGCACTTCTGAGGTAATCCCTACTTGATTATGCTGGGTTATTGCTTTAATATACTTTGACTTAATTTTACAGATTTTTTATTTAGAATTTTCACAACTATATTCATAAATAAAACTTGTTTGGAAGGATATTTCTTGAAATGCATTTTAAGAAGGAATGTTATGAAGAAGAAATGGTTCCATGGTCAAATACACTTGAGAAAGGCAGATTAAAACATTTTAACAAATTTCTTTGCTTCAGATTTTTCAGAGACTTTAATATGCTAATACATGCTGTAATCTCTAAGGGAGTGCTTTTCAAGCAAACCCACAATGGACTCCGTTCCCCCCTCAGAAAGTGACACTAATTTCCACACAACCCTCTTTGGAATATTAATCATTGTCATATTTTGTTATCAGGGTTATGTTAACCTCATAAAGTGAGTTAGGATAGCTTTTCCTACTTTAATGTACCCTGGAATGGATTATATAATATGAGTCTCATAAGTTTCTTGGAAACATGAAAGGCCTAGAACCAGTTTTGCAAATTATCCCTTAATAACATTTGCTAAATTTTCCATGGATATTCAGCTTTCTTATAATATTGAATCAATGTTATTAATAATTATTTCTAGAAAATGGTTCACTTTGTTGAAATTTCTAAATTTGTTAAAATGTGATTGTGAGTGGAATTCTCTTTTAATTCTTAAAATATGTTTTATTTATCTGTTGGTAAATAAAATGAAATTAAATGATCTGTGCCAAATACTTGAAACAGTGCGTGGCACATAGTAAATGGTAAATGTTTTTATTTCCTCCCCGTTTTTCTTATTTTGTATCTTTCTTTTTTAAAAAATTTAGATTTGTCAGAACTTTGTTGATTTAAAAACTTTGTTTCCCAGATAATCACCTCTTCTGCTTATCT